CAAAGTGCTGGGATTACAGGTGTGAGCCACCGCACCCGTCTTGGTTTCCAGACTTTCTTTAGCATGGGGGAGCCCTGAGAGTACCGCCAGGCCTCAGGGATGGTGGCAGAGCAGAGAGGGACATGGGGTGGGAGTTGAGTGACAGCCCAGGGTATAAGGATTGAGGGGTGATGCTGGGTCTGGAAAAGTGCCCTGAGGACAAGAGTGAAGAGGAGGGAGGCTGGGGCGCCGAGGAGCTCAGCTGAATGCTCAGCTCTATAGGGAAGGAGGCTGCCCTCCTGGGTGACCCTCAGGCTGGTGATAGGCACGGGCAGCCCCTGGGATACAGGGGTGGCGTCAGCAAAGACCTAAAGAGATGAGGGTCCACAGATTCATGATAGGCAGTTTGGGTCTTCCTGGAAGCAGCCATGGAGATGGGAGTGCAGGAGGTGCTGTCCAGCCTCGGGCTGGTTCCCCAACTTTGCTGAGCCTCCTTTGTAAAATGGAGAAGGAAAAACCCGCTGTACAAACCCTTCTCTTTTACAGGGGAGGAAAGTGAGAAAGGAAACCAATCAAATTCATGTTAACTCCAGAGGGCTGCAGGCCATCCGGTCAGCCTGGGGCAGAGGCTCTGCCTGCACCTCCCCCTAGACTCCAGCTGCCTTCCACGTTGGCCTGAGAGGAGGAATGAGCCATCAGAGGGTCTCCTGAGGGCACACAAGTGCCAGGGGCTGCCATGGCTCCAGGACGCGTCTTTCCTTTTTTTTTTTTTTTTTTTTTGAGACAGGGTCTTGCTTTGTTGTCCAGGCTGGAGTGCAGTAGCACAACCATGGCTCGCTGCAGCCTCAACCTCTTGGGCTCAAATGATCCTCCTGCTCAACCTCCTGAGTAGCTCTGCCGCACCTGGCTAACTTTTATTTAAACTTTTTTTTTTTTTTTTTTTTTGAGTCTCACTCTGTCGCCCAGGCTGGAGTACAGTGGTGCCATCTTGGCTGTCTACAACCTCTGCCTTCCAGGTTTAAGCAATTCTCCAGCCTCAGCCTCCTGAGTAGCTGGGATTACAGGCACCTGCCACCACGCCTGGCTAATTTTTGTATTTTTAGTAGAGATGGGGTTTCACCATGTTGGCCAGGCTGGTCTTGAACTCCTGACCTCAGGTGATCCACCCACCTCGGCCTCCCAAAGTGCTGGGATTACAGGCGTGAGCCACCGCGTCCGGCCTATTTTAACTTTTCGTAGGGACGGGGTCTCGCTCTGTTGCCCAGCCTGTGGACCTGTGTTTCTTTTGCAGAAAACATACCGTTTCATTTACTGCTCCGACACCGGCTGGGCCGTGGGTGCAGAGGAATCTGACTTTGAGGGCTGGGCCTTCCCCTTCCCAGGAGTGATGCTGATCGAGGACTTTGTGACCCAGGAGGAAGAAGCCGAGTTGGTGCGGCTCATGGACCGTGACCCCTGGAAGCTCTCCCAGTCTGGACGGAGGAAGCAGGTAGGCTGGCCCTGAGCCCATGGGGAGGGCTGGGCAGCGCTGAGGGGGCAGCCCTACTGCTGGGGACCCTCCCCTTCCTCTGCAGCCATACCCCACAAACCTCCAGGGTTAGTAGTGGGCAACTTCCCCAGACCCTGGGGCCATCTGCAGCCTGTGTGCTGCAGGACGTGTGTCTGATGGGCAGAGGTGCACCCGGGTACCCCTCTCCCCGTGATATGTGCTGCTGGGCTCTCTGCCCCTCTCTGCACCAATGGTGGTGGCAAGGGCACCCCATTCGCCCAAGCTGCAGGCGCCCCCACCTCCCATTGTCACCATCAGTGTCCTGTCTCCTCACACGCTTCCCCTTCCCCGGGCCCGCTGTTCCCTCCAGCTCACCCCTTCCCTACCTGTGTCCAAACTCTACTGGAGGCTGGAGTGACCCCGCCTCCTCACGTCCCCTCACCCCCTCACCCCCATTCCTCCCTCCCCAGCCTCCATGTATGGCCACTGGGACAGTCAACATCCCTGGGTGCCCCCTCAGCCTTCATTGTAGCTTTTATTTTTTTTTTGAGACAGAGTCTCGCTCTGCCACCCAGGCTGGAGTACAGTAGCATGACCTGAGCTCATTGCAACCTCTGCCTCCCAGGTTCAAGCCATTCTTCTGGCTCAGCCTCCCAAGTAGCTGGGACTACAGGTGCCCATCACCACGCCTGGCTAATTCTTGTATTGTTAGTGGAGACGGTGTTTCACCATGTTGACCAGGCTGGTCTCGAACTCCTGACCTCAAGTGATCCGCCCGCCTTGGCCTCCCAAAGTGCTGGGATTACAGGCGTGAGTCACCGCGCCCGGCCCCATTCTTTTGTGACATCCTATTGGATGTTTGTACATTTCATTTCCTCATTCATCTGTCAGTGGACATTGGTGTTGTCACTTTTTGGCTGTTGTGAACATTTGTGTACAGGTTATTCGTGGTTGTTTTTTTTTTTTTTTTGAGACAGGGTCTTGCTCTGTCGCCCAGACTGGAGTGCAGTGGTGCGATCTTGGCTCACCGCAGCCTTGACCTCCCAGGCGCTAGTGATCCTCCTACCTCAGCCTCCTGAGTAGCTGAAACTAAGGCATATGCCACCAAGCCCAGCTAATTATTATTATTATTATTTTGAGACAGGGTGTCTCATTCTGTCTCCCAAGCTGGAGTACAGTGGCTCAGTCTCCACTCACCACAGCCTCAACCTCCTGAGCTCCAACAGTCCTCTCACCTCAGCCTCCTAAGTAGCTGGGACTAAGGCCTGTGCCACCACATCTGTCTAATTTTTGTTTTTTTTACTAGAGACGGAGTTTTGCTATGTTGCCCAGGCTGGTCTCGAACTCCTGGGCTCAAACGATCCATCTGCCTGGGCCTCCCAAAGTGTTGGGATGATAGGCGGGAGCCACCATACCCAGCCTAATTTTTAAATTTCTTGTAGAGAGGACTGGTCTCGAACTCCTGGCCTCAAGAGCTCCTTCCGCCTCAGCCTTCCAAAGCGCTGGGATTACAGGCATGCACCACCACGCCCGGCCATTTGCTGTCACTTCTGTCTCCTTGAGTCTGCCTTCTCCTGCTTCACCTCCATGAAGCCAGGAGGCTTTTGCTTGCCTTGGTCACTGTGATTGAATTCTTCGGACCTAGTCTGTGGTAGACATCTTCATAAAGTCAGACATCTCATGTTCTTTTTGTCTTCATCCGTCAGGACTATGGCCCCAAAGTCAACTTTCGGAAACAGAAGCTAAAGACCGAGGGCTTCTGCGGCCTCCCCAGCTTCAGCCGGGAGGTGGTGCGGAGGATGAGCCTCTACCCGGGGCTGGAGGGCTTCCGGCCCGTCGAGCAGTGCAACCTGGACTACTGCCCCGAGCGCGGCTCTGCCATCGACCCCCACCTGGACGACGCCTGGCTGTGGGGGGAGCGGCTGGTCAGCCTCAACCTCCTGTCCCCCACCGTGCTGTCCATGTGTCGGGAGGCACCCGGGAGCCTGCTCCTCTGCTCGGCCCCGTCGGCTGCCCCGGAGGCCTTGGTGGACAGCGTGATAGCACCCAGCCGGTCGGTGCTATGCCAGGAGGTGGAGGTGGCCATCCCCTTACCCGCCCGCTCCCTGCTGGTCCTCACGGGGGCCGCAAGGCACCAGTGGAAGCACGCCATCCACCGCAGACACATCGAGGCCCGCCGCGTCTGCGTCACTTTCCGGGAGCTGTCGGCCGAGTTCGGCCCCGGAGGCGGGCAGCAAGAGCTGGGCCAGGAACTGCTGCGAATTGCCTTCTCCTTCCAGGGAAGACCCGTGTGAGCCGCCTCCCTGGCTCCAGACTTGACTGATCCTGGGATTGAAACGGGAAGCACAGGACAGGGCCTCCCGCAACTCACGGGGTTTCAAGAGAAGATGGGTGACATGCTGTGAGCGGTGTGAGCCGCACCCGGGAGCGGGTTTTGATGGGAACGCACCTCGGGGCAGCCCCCTTCCACCTGGACCGTGGCCATGCTTGTTTTGGTTATTTAATTTGTCACAGTCTTGGGGACGTGGGATCATTTGAGCTTAAAAAATATTGGGGGCCGGGCACGGTGGCTCACGCCTGTAATCCTAACACTTTGGGAGGCTGAGGTGGGTGGATCGCTTGAGGTCAGGAGTTCGAGACCAGCCTGGCCAACATGGTGAAAACCGGTCTCTACAAAAAATACAAAAATTAGCCGGGTGTGGTGACTCGCACCTGTAGTCCCAGCTACTCGGGAGGCTAAGGTGGGAGAATCGCTTGAACCCAGGAGGTGGAGGTTGCAGTGAGCCAAGATTGTGCCACTGCACTCCAGCCTGGGCGACAGAGCAAGAGTGTTTCAAAAAAAAAAAGAAGGGAACATTTTAAATGATTTTCACCTTTATTATGCATCTATTTTCATGGGGTTTCCTGATATCTCACCGTCCAGCCCCTTCATTTGGGGAATGTGTTGGATTAGAGAACAGAGTTGGTTGAAGATTTGAAGTTTAAAGAGCTAGTAATAGCTTCAGAGTCAGGCTCAGCCTGACTCATGCTTGACACCCCCACGCCCCAGGGGGATTGAGGATGTGAGGAGGGCAGGGAAATCTGAGAGCCTCCTCCCAGCCCCATAATGCTGTTAACATGTGGGAAAAATTAAAGCTCCTGGCCAGGTGCAGTGGCTCACACCTGTAATCCAAGTACTTTGGGGGGCTGAGGTGGGAGGATCGCCTGAGGCCAGCCTGGGCAACATAGTGAGACCCCATCTCTACAAAAAGTACAAACATTAGCTGGGTGTCTGGGCGTGGTGACGCACACCTGTAAGAGAGGCTGAGGCAGAAGGATGACTTTACCACGAGGTCAAGGCTGCAGTGAGCTCATGATCATACCACTGCACTTACTCGGCAACAGAGCAAGACCCTGTCCCTCAAATAAATAAAAGGGAAAAAAAAGCTCCTCACCTCCCACGACACCAGGCGGCTATTCCCTTGTGATGGGGCTGTGGGGGGAGCGGGGGACTTACCTGGATGGGGGAGCTGCTCTGCTGTCCCTGTGGCCGGGCGAGAGGCAGGCTGTGGAGGCTGAGGGGTGGCCTGGACCCATGTGGCCAGCCCTCTCTCCCACCACTATGGGACAAAATGTTCAGTTCCCCACCACTTACTGGAAACTAAATCCAGGGGAATAGGAAAGGTTCGGGGCCAGCACCGCTCTTTACAGTCACCCCCAGAACCCTCTGGGAGCTGTCAGGTGGCGGAGCCATGCACTGTCTATAAAGCAGCGTCCCAGCCACTGAGCCCCCAGGAGGGCTGAAGAGCCCCGCACAGACCCAGGGGAGAGGCTGCTGGGTTTCTAGTGGCTGTGAGAGCCCAGCGGCCAGGTGGGTGGATGTGGCTCCCAGGCCACCTTGACTTTGGCTCCCTGGTCGGCTCACTTGGAGCAAGAGCATGGAGCCCTGCTTCCTCCCGGCTTCCTCCCAGTGTCACGGCCACAACGGGCCTCTCACTGCGTATCCAGATGTGAGTGGGGTCAGAGTTCCAGCTGATCATCCCTGCACTGGAGCAGATAAGCCAGCCCGGGGACCAGTGCAGGGTCTCTGCCCCTGGCAGGCTGGGCTGGCCGCTGCACGATGCTCCAGCAATGGGGAGGGACATCTGGAGAACGATGCACATAGAGACTTGAAGGGGAGAGGCCTGGTGAGGCTTGGGGATGCTGTAGAGCAGGAAACCTCCCTCCCCGGGCCCCCTCCGTGCTCGCCCTTCCAGCAGAGCACACTTTAGGAAACTCCATTACCTGGTAAGTTGGTGACATCCGAGTTGGGTCTGTCCTTGAAGCTGCAACACACAGATCCACAGCAACACCTTACCCAATGAGGATGGGGCTGGAGAAGGCCATGCTGGGAGGCTTCTGCCACAGCCTGGCCCCCGTACACTACCCGGTAGCCTTATATATTTCCTTTTTCTTTCTTTTTTTTGTGGGGGGGGTGGGGGTGCAGAGGCAGGGTCTTGCTCTGTTGCCCAGGCTGGAGTGCAGTGGCGCAATCATGGCTCACTGCAGCCTCGACCTCCTGGGCTCAAGTGATCCTCCCCCTCTGCCTCTCCAGTAGCTGGAACTACAGGCGTGTGCCACCATCCCCAGCTAGTTGTCTTGTTTTGTTTTGATTTTCAGTGGAGATAGAGTCTTGCTATGTTGCCCAGGCTGGTCTCAAACTCCTGGGCTCAAAAGCGATCCGCCTGCCTCAGCCTCCCAAAGCGCTGGGAATAATGGGCGTGAGCCCCTCCGCCCAGTCTGCCCCATGTGTTTCTGCAGGGCTGGGCCCCAGGAGCCACCGCCTGCAGGGTAAAGTCTGCTTACCTGTGTTTGAGGTGGCAGTTTCCGCATCCGTCAGCACGCTTACCTCAGCAGACCTCGACCTCCCCGGGCTCAGATGATTCTCCCACCTCAGCCTACTACAGGCACACACCACCAAGCCCGGGTAATTCTTGTATTTTTGTAGAGACAGGGTCTTGCGATGTTGCCCAGGCTGGTCTCGAACTCCTTGGCTCAAGCGATCCGCCCACCTCAGCCTCCCAAAGTGTTGGGATTACAGGTGTGAGCTATAGGTTGTCAGGTTCTACATGGATTTCGGCTCCTGTCTGGGCCTTGCCCTCCTGGGCCCCACCAGGGCTCTGCAGCATCTGAGGCAAAAAGTCTTGGGCTGGGTGAGGTGGCTCATGCCTATAATCCCAGGACTTTGGGAGGCTGAGGCAGGAGGATCACTTGAGGTCAGGAGTTCAAGACCAGCCTGACCAACATGGCAAAACCCCGTCTCTACTAAAAATACAAAAATTAGCCAGGCGTGATGGTGGGTGCCTATAATCCTAGGTACTCAGGAGGCTGAGGCAGGAGAATCACTTGAGCCCGGGAGGCGGAGGTTACAGTGAGCCAAGATCGCACCATTGCACTCCACCCTGGACAACAGAGTGAGACTCTATCTGGAAAAAAAAAAAAAAAAAGAAAAAAGTCTGTGTCGATGATCTGCTGGGTGTGGAGTGGGTTCCTCCATGCCAGTGATTTGTGTCCTGCCCTTGACAGGGGTGGGGCATGTTTTCCCTTTAAGGAAATGGCAGCCTCCACCGGAAGTGCAGTCTGTCTCGAGGCTGGTGGGCTTGCTGGCCCGGGGCTTGGTACTGAGGCCACTGCTCAGCCCAAGGGGCAGCCTGGCCTCTTAGGGTTGGCAGAACCAAGGCACTGCCCCAAACGCTTTCCATGGAGTGGTGCCAGTTGCTTGGCACACCTGATTCCTAGCAGCCTCTAGGGTGAAGTGCCAGAGTTAAAAATAATAACAATGGCCGGGTGCGGTGGCTCAAGCCTGTAATCCCAGCACTTTGGGAGGCCGAGGCAGGCAGTCACCTGAGGTCAGGAGTTCGAGACCTGGTCAGCCTGGCCGACATGGAGAAACCCCATCTCTACTAAAAATACAAAAATAAGCCAGGCGTGTTGGTGCATGCCTGTAGTCCCAGCTACTCAAGAGGCTGAGGCAGGAGAATCGTTTGAACCTGGGAGGCAGAGGTTGCAGTGAGCTGAGATCGTGCCACTGCCCTCCAGCCTGGGCAACAAGAGTGAAACTCCATCTCAAAAAACAACAACAATTAACTGGGCATGGTGGTGGTTCATGCCTACAGTCCCAGCTTTTCAGGAGGCTGAGGCAGGAGAATTGCTTGAACCCAGGAAGTGGAGGTTGCAGCAAGCTGAGATCATGCCACTGTACTCCAACCTGGGCGATAGAGAGAGACTGTCTCGAAAAAACAAAACAAAACAAAACAAATTCTTTCCTAGAAGGGGGCCTCTACCTCAGTGGGCGACAAAATACAGAACAGGCCAGGCATAGGGGCTCACACCTGTAATCCCAGCACTTTGGGAGGCCAAGGCAGGAGGATCGCTTGAGGCCAGAAGTTCAAGACCACACTGAGCAACATAGCAAGATCCCATCTCTACAAAAAACATTAGCTGGGCATGGTGGTGTGTGCACCTGTAGTCCCAGCTACTTGGGAGGCTGAGGTGGGAGGATTGCTTGTGCCCAGAAGCTGGAGCCTGCAGAGAGCTATGATTGCACCACTGCACTTTGGCTCTGGCCTGGGCAATAGAGCCAGACCGTCTCTAAAATAAACCTATATTTTTAAAAACATAGACTAGGCGCAGTGGCTCACACCTCTAATCCCAGCACTTTGGGAGGCCGAGGTGGGCAGATCACAAGGTCAGGAGTTCGAGACCAGCCTGGCCAACATGGTGAAACCCCCGTCTCTACTAAAAATACAAAAATTAGCCAAGCATGGTGGTGTGTGCCTGTAATCCCAGCTACTTGGGAGACTGAGGCACAAGATCGTTTGAACCCAGAGGGAGGAGGCTGCAGTGAGCCAAGATCATGCCACTGCATTCCAGCTTGGGTGACAGAGCCACTCTGAATAAAAAAAAAAAAAAAAAAGCTGTCTGGTGCTTCCTCAGCAGTGCCACCAGCCCACAGGAGGGACCCACCTGTTCCTGCTGCCCCACAGTGACCTGGGGCTGGAGAATGTCCCAAGGCGACCAGTGTTCCAGTGGCTCCTCTCCTGAAGGGACTGGGGGGACCTCCAAGCCGACCCTGTCCAGGTGGGCTCTGTTGTCACTCAGCCACCCTCTGGGGCTGCCCCTTCCTTTGTTTCTGGAAAGAGAGGGACCTGTCTGGGAGGGGAAGCGGCAGGCAGAGGCACCCTGTGCTCTCGGGGTCCCAGCTGGCTGGAGCCCCATGGCGGCGTGTCTGGACCTGAGCACCCTGCCTCCATTCTACAGATGTCCACGCCCCCTTCCCGGGGCAGCCTGGGAGGACACTGGCCAGTGACCAGTGACAGGAGGCCAGAGGGCGCTACAGGAGAAGGTTTTTATGCCATGATGGGGGTCCCCCAGTCAGCAGATGCCAGGGGAGGGCCAGGGGCTGCAGTTTATCCCCTCTGCCCACAGCGTCCCCCCAAGAACAGAAAGACTTTGAATAGCGTCACTGGTTTATTCAGTTTCATCCAGGGCAACTGTTTTAAAAACCCGCACACAGGACAGTGGATGTGTCTGCTGCATGCATAGATCATCAGCACGAGGCGGGTAAGGGCTGCAGCTGAGTCCGGATCCACTCAGGCTTACGTGGTCCGGTCCCCAGCAAACCCTCCTAGAAGATGCGAAAACACATTCTGCCTTCCAAGTTTCTAAACCAGAAACACCTGTGTTTTGAAACAGGTGGTCAGGTACTAAACGGAGAGGGTGTCCCACGTGGGAGGGGCCTTGGCATGTCTAGGCACCCGGAAGACTGTGCTCCAAATTAGGACGGGCCCCGGCTGGCTCCAGGGCAAACTGAGGCAGAGGCCCCAGTTTTTTTTTTTTTTTTTTTTTTTAAAGAGAGTCTCTGGCCGGGCGCGGTGGCTCAAGCCTGTAATCCCAGCACTTTGGGAGGCCGAGACGGGCGGATCACAAGGTCAGGAGATTGAGACCATCCTGGCTAACACGGTGAAACCCCATCTCTACTAAAAAAATACAAAAAACTAGCCATGCGAAGTGGCGGGCGCCTGTAGTTCCAGCTACTCGGGAGGCTGAGGCAGGAGAATGGCGTAAACCCGGGAGGCGGAGCTTGCAGTGAGCTGAGATCTGGCCACTGCACTCCAGCCTGGGCGACAGAGACAGATTCCATCTCAAAAAAAAAAAAAACAAAAAAACAACAGAGTCTCGTTCTTTTCCCAGGCTGGAGTGCAGTGGCGTGATCTTGGCTCACTGCATCCTCTGCCTCCCGGGCTCAAGTGATTCTCCTGCCTCTGCCTCCTGGGTAGCTGGGATTACAGGGGTGTGTCACCACGCCCGGGTAATTTTTGTATTTTTAGTAGAGATGGGGTTTCACCACGTGGGCCAGGCTGGTCTCGAACTCCTGATCTCAGGCGATCTGCCCGCCTCTGTCTCCCAAAGTGCTGTGATTACAGATGTGAGCCACCACGCCCAGCCTGGAGGCCTCTGTTCTTAAACACTGTTCAAAGACGGGCTAAACCTCCAGAAACTGAATTTCTAGGCTGCAATGGCGTTCCCCATCGCCCATGCTGCCCCTCAAGGTGTTTCTGCAGCTCCGACAACAGCTCACCCTCCGTCTCCCCACAGGCTCTGGGGTGACCCTGAGGCTTCCTCTCCCAGCCACCATGGCCCTACCCATGATCACTGCTATTCCCACAGCAATGGTTTGCCTCATTCCTCGAAACTAGAAAGTCTGGAGCTGGGAGAACAAGAACTCTAGGAGAAAGAGAACCGGAAATTCCAACACCGTCATCCTCCTAATCAGAGAGCTAGACTTGAATGTGGCTCCGTCCCCACCCACGTGCCACCATCACTGGGCACTTAATACCTGCCTGGATGCTGCCAGGTCAAGAACTCTGCCTGGGGACCAGGTACACTAACTGGCCCCCAGATGGCACTGGAGATGCGTTCCATAGTCTGGGGAGTGTGGCACTGCGTGGGCAGGGGCACAGATGCTGCAGGAAGGTGGGAGGCAGGAGAAGGCCCAGCAGGGCCCCTCCCAAAAGGCTCAGGCCAGGGTAAGAGGCTGCCGCCTCTCCCAGCCACGAGGAGCCATTCATTTAGAAGAGCCGGCCTGTCTTGACCCAAAGCCACTCCTTGGAGGGACACTGACATGCTGACATTCTTTTCTTTTTCTTTCTTTTTTTTTCAGAGACAGGGTCTCACTCTGTTGCCCAGGCTGGAGTACAGTGGCATGATCTTGGCTCACCACAACCTCTGCCTCCTGGGTTCAAATGATTCTCCTGCCTCAGCCTCCCAAGTAGCTGGGATTACAGGTAAGCACCACCATGCCCAGCTAATTTTTTGTATTGTTAGTAGGGACAGAGTTTCACCATGTTGGCCAGGCTGGTCTCAAACTCCTGACCTCAAGTGATCCACCCACCTCAGTTTCCCAAAGTGCTGAGATTACAGGCGTGAGCCACTGTGCCCGGCCAGTAGCGCAATCATAGTTCACTGCAGCCTCTACTTCCCCAGCTCAAGCAATCCTCCTGCCTCAGCCTCCCAAGTAGCTGGAACTACAGGCATGCACTACCACGCCCAGCTAATTTATTTTTATTTAATTTATTTATTATTTTTTGAGACAGAGTTTTGCTCTGTCGCCCAGGCTGGAGTGCAGTGGCACGATCTCGGCTCACTGCAACCTCTGCCTCCTGGATTCAAGCAATTCTCTTGCCTCAGCCTGCCAAGTAGCTGGGATTACAGGTACCCGCCACCATACCCGGCTAATTTTTTGTATTTTCACTAGAGATGGTTTCACCATGTTGTTGCCGAGGCTGGTCTTAAACTCCTGATCTCAAGTGATCTGCCCACCTCAGCCTCCCAAAGTGCTAAGATTACAGGCATGAGCCATTGCACCCGGCTTGGCTAATTTAAAATAATTTTTTTAGAGATGGGGTCTTGCTATGTTGCCCAGGCTGGTCTCGCACCCCTAGGCCCACGTGATCTTCCCTCCTTGGCCTTCCAAAGTGCTGGGATGACAGGCGTGCGCCACCTTGCCTGGCCAACACTGACATTCTTTAGCAAAGCAAACACATATTAAACCATAAGAGGTGTTTCTACAGGCTGCAGGACAGTACAGACGTGCTGGAGGGCAAGGGTCGCAGACAGATGTCTGCAGGGGACACAAAGGATGAACCCCTCAGAAGACACAGGGCTCTTCTCCGGCCCCCAAGGATGCCACAACTTTCTCGTGGGGACCCTCGGCGTGACTCCCCAAGGGCCCCTCAGCACGGGGAATTGCGTGTCAGGGTCTCTGTTCTCTGCTGCAGCCACATTTCCAGAGACCCCAACCAGGCCACCCAGAATCCCATGGCACAGCCAACCCGGACCCCGGAGAGAGCGTAAGCCTTTACAAGAGATGTGATCAGAGCATGAAGAAGCCCAGTGACTACTTTTTTTTTTTTTTTTTTTGTAGATGAAGTTTTGCTCTTGTTGCCCAGGCTGTAGTGCAATGGCATGATCTCGGCTCACTGCAACCTCTGCTTCCTGGGTTCAAGTGATTCTCCTCCTGCCTCAGCCTCCTGAGTAGCTGGGACTACACACCCGCCACCACCACACCCGGTTAATTTTTTGTGTTTTTTTTTTTTGGAGATGGAGTCTCGCTCTGTCGCCCAAGCTGGAGTGCAGTGGCATGATCTCAGCTCACTGCAAGCCCCGCCTCCCAGGTTCACGCCATTCTCCTGCCTCAGCCTCCCAAGTCGCCCGGCTAATTTTTTGTATTTTTTTATAGAGACGGGGTTTCACCATGTTGGCTAGGCTGGTCTCGAACTCCTGACCTCAAGTGATCCGCCCGCCTTGGCCTCCCAAAGTGTTGGGATTACAGGCGTTAGCCATCGCGCCCGGCCTAATTTTTGTATTTTTAGTAGAGGTGGGGTTTCACCATGTTGGCCAGGCTGATCTGGAACTCCTGACCTCAGATGATCCACCCACCTTGGCCTCCCAAAGTACTGGGATTACAGGCATGAGCCACTGCGCCTGGCCCCAGTGACTATGAGAACAAAAGACAAGGCATGGCTGGCTCTTCAGGTTACAGCTGGAGAAGAGGGGAAAGGTGGTTGGTTGTACAAGCAGCTCAGGGAAGCTGGTGCTGCAGCGTGCGTACACGGCCCAAGAGTGTGGCTTTGGGTCTACCAGATGCCCTTAGGGAAAAGGCCAGAACCCGCACTGCACAGCGCAGTCACCGTGTGTGGTGGGACCCAGTGTCGGCTGAGAGGCCTGGAGGGGTCTCGCTTCCCTTGTAGTCACTCGGTGTCATAACAAGGAGGGCACCCATTTGGCCTGGGCCAACCCCTGGCCCCACTATCCACAAGCCAGGCCAGGCCAATGGCCTTGCCTAGACAGGAAGTCCCCCAGGATGTCCGCTCGCTGCCTGGGGCCACAGGAAGCTGCACAGGCTCCGGGGCCTGAGCCAGAGCCTCTGCCTTGGGCTGCCACAGCCCAGGGGAGTGGCTGAGTCAGCCTCAGAGGCCATTCTGTGGCTGACAGCTGGGGGCCGCTGGCTGTGGGGGAAGGATCCTTTCCCCACCCCGGTGGCCCCACTGAGTCCGTGTGGCCAGGGCTCTCTCTGGCTGAGAAAAGAGAATTTGAGCCTAGCATACTACGCAGCAGCCCTCAAATAATTCAACTTCCTCATGCGGGTGTCTCGTAGATGCCCGTGAACATATCTCCTCCGGCTCAGCCAGGCCGCGCCCCCGATGGAAACATCCCCGGGGGCCTGACACCACTGCCGAGGGCTGCAGCACCCCCTGCACTTGCTGGGCTGACGTGTGTCCTGGCTCCTGTCTTCCCCTGAAGCCAGGCCACCCAGCTTCCTCCAGGGCCAGGCAGGGAAGCACCAAGCCTTGCCATGCACCTGCACCCACTCAAATGCCGCAGCCCTCGTGTCATCACTGTCACACGGGCCACTCGGCATCCACGAAGCCCACCACGGGTCTCTGGGGCAATCATTCTCTGAAAGCAAAAGTCTGCCCTGGCTCTCCCAGGCCCACCAGCCATGCATGCCGGGTCTGAGCACCCACTGGGTGCTGCTTGGAGGCCCTCCTGGCCCAGGACTGATGGGCAGATCCCACTGTAGCCTCTTCACTGTGTCCCCGACCCAGGAAACCCTGAGGCCAAGGAACCAGCCTGGTTTTGCCCCCAATGCTCTTAGCAACACAGTCCCTCGTTGAACCAGATGGTTCCATCTCAGAAGAAGTCATCCAGTGCTTATGGTATTAAGACAAGAGGAAAACTTTGGTCTTGAACTACCCGGCAGCCTTGCAAAATGTCTGCATCTGACAAATCCCCGCCTCTGCGGGCTCCCGGGCACAGGGCCGCCCCCAGCCCCGGCCCTCAGCCCCTCACACGACCTGCAGGCTGCGCTCATGCCCGTCCAGCTGGACCTTGAGCTTGTGGAGCTCCTCGATCTCACGGTTGTGGCGCTCCGTTTTGTGGCGCACCAGAGAGCGGTAGAAGTGGATGGTGAAGACCACGAAGATGAGGCCCACGGGCACCATGATGATGGTGGACACCAGCGCGGCCTGCCAGCCCGTGTGGCTCCCGGGGCCAGGCGGGGGGCCAGGCTGGCGCCGGGCGTCCACGGGGAGGAACTTGATCCAGCAGAGCAGCACCACCTCGGCCAAGAAGAGCAGGATGCCTAGCACGGTGGAGAAGCCCCAGGCCAGCTCGATGTAGGGGTGCATGCGCTCATGCGGAGACTCGCTGATGGAGTTCAGGTTGTGGATGTTGCTCACGGCCTCTACGTTGGGCAGGATGCAGGTGCTGATGAGGAGGGCGAACAGGTGCACGGCCACCAGCACCGTGGTGCAGGCGCTGAAGGCAATCAGCAGCGGCCGAGGGTACTGGTACTGCGTCTCCAGCTGCACCTCCACCATGGCCACCT